TCTCGTCGTCATCGCTTGTCACGTTATTCGAGCTGTTTTGACGCGAGGATTTAACTGTTGTATGACCTGTTGTAGCGTCGGATTCGTGATACGAGTCGTGTAGTAACGAATGATGTTTCTCATTGCATATTCTACAAGTTTTCATAGAATTACAACCGCGTTTGCCATGAAGATATAGACAATTACAGCAGAGTCGATATTTCGTAACTATTTTCAATTTATGTTCTGGTGACATAGTTACAAATTTTGCAGTGATATAATGCGTGGTCTGCAGTATTGCATATGCAACAATTTATTGCAGTTGAAGCAGCGTGTACGAACTTTGGATATGAATTCTTATTTCCAGCACCGAAAGACGTTTTTACTTTGTTGCTTGTCGATGACCAATCTTTTTCCTTCTTTGGAACAGGTTCAAGTGCTGTAAACTTTCCCTCAAGGAACGCCATAAATTCCTCAAACTCTGGAAGCTCCCGTGGTTTTTTGCGTGATTCCATGTAATCTGTTCTTGTTTCTGGATCCAGTTTTTTCACCAACAGATGCACAAGGATCGGGTCCCAAGTGGTCGTATCTACTCCTAAATTGTGTATCGCGTGAATACTTTCCATAGTTGTGTCATAAATTCGCTTGATCTCATTAGAAGTTTGCTTCTCAATAGTACGTTGATTAAGAAATAATTCGATGTGCTTGGTGAATAACACTTGTACGTTATTGTAACGATGAAATAACAGATCCCAAGCAGTTTTGTAGTTGTCTGATGACACGTTCAAATGTTGGATAAGACGATGAGCTTCACTCCTTAACTTCCCCTTCAAGTGTTGCATTTTTTGTGCGTCAGTTAACGTGGGGTTGTCATGGATGCTACTCTTGTACAGATCCAAAAATGTTGGCCACTGAACGTAGTCACCATGAAACGTAGGTACATCCATCTTCGGGGTCGACTCGTACTGATGCGCAGTTGAAGATATCTTTTGGTTTAAGACTCTTCTAGTATCTTTGTATTTCTTCTCGTACACAGAAAATTCTTGTTCGTAATTTTCATCCTCACCTTGTGAAATATTGTCAATCTTAAGGTGAAGGTTGTCTATGTCTCGCCATCTAGACTGTAGGCGTTTTAGTTCATCCTCCAACTCCCACTTCTCCACTATTTTGGTAATGTCAATACCATTGATGAGCCTTTGCAAAGCTCGGAAGTTTGTTTTTTGCTCACTCATCAAATCGCTAAGAGCGGGTCTTGTAGGAGGACTGGGTTCATTTTCCTCTGCAGGGTTGCAATTTTGAATCAAGACCTTGATTCTTTCATAGAGCCTTTGAGTGTCCTTGAAGATATCCTTCTTGAAGTACTCATGCTCTGAGTAATCATCACCAGATTGCAGCAGCTGTGCGTGGTTTATGTCGAACTCTGCCCATAGGGAATTAAGACTACTTATCCTTTTCTTGATGTAAGAATCAGTCTTCCTACTAGCTGAGTCCTTGTTGAAATTGCTGTGAATCTTGTGGATGTTGTCAATGATTTCCTTTTGCCTTGCTATAAGTTCTTGCATCTTGATACTTGTAAATCACTGAAATGCGCTGTCACGGCCGAAATCACTGGAGGTAGTTCGTCACTTATACAAATGTTCCGAAGTGGAGTTGTTTTTCCAAACACGGTCGCGGTTCAGTGTCACTTAGAGGAGAATGTATTTTCTTCCTTGTGAGTGATAGTTTTCTAATGGGTTTGCATTTCATATACAATCACGTATGCAAATAAAATACAAAACACCACTGCAGTAGTAGGCTCGAAGGACCAAAAGAACGGGCTGTATACTCTCGTACATATGATGTTGTGTGTAGTTGGTGTATGGTGTCGGTGTGATCCCGATGTGGGTTCAGGGATTAGTGGAAATGTAAACACCACCGACACAATTGAGCGATTTATTAACACTAAAAATTATACAAATCATCTTAGATACAAAGGTCTTCACAGTATCGACGAAGTGTGTCACAATGTCAGCAATACCTACGGCCTTGCACAATTAGTTGCGAATGTTACAATTATTAAATATTTCTTAAAGAATGTACGATGACTCGTACACAATTCCCTAATCAAAAATAAATTATTTTGACTGTTCAATACAATAAAATATTAAAAAATCATCACACTTCCATTCATTGATTTACTGACCAACTTAATTTTAGTCATTTTCAAGCAAACATTTTAAGAAATAAGTATGCTGTTTGACCATGTTTGACGCTAAAAAAAGTGACGTCACAATCTCGTACAATACAAAATTCATAAAAAAACTGTCGTTTTTGACAGTTCGAATAAAGTATTTTAGAGAGACGTGGAATTATTATGGTAGAATTAGTATACTTATTATATGAAAGTCTTACCGTGTGCCCTCCGACGATAAAGGTAATAGTCAAACCGATTTCAATGAAGAAGACGGTCAATACCACACTGATGAAGATAATATTGGGCACATATATCGAGAAATGGTACACAATATTATATAGTGCCACCATGAGAAAAAGTGACAAAATTGTCACCGAAACCTGGAAATAAATAATAGTTTTAACGTATCACCATCAGCTAGTTGTATAGTAGATACTGGTGGACCCCTAGGGATATGCATGCTGTAATAGGCGTTGCATCGTGGGGGCTCCGGAGCAGGTCTCTTCAGGGGACCCGGTGCCCCTTACAGATGCTGAGGGTACGACTCCCACATTCCCCTAGTCTTTCTACCAAAACATCTAGGCGGTGAAGGTCATCAAAAAAAAAAGATAGGTACTGCTGGACACATGCCTCTTCAATAACACGCTAGTACTTAAACTTAGGATCTTTTAAGGAAATCGATAAGAGTGTCGATTGTGTTAGACAGTCGGCAGCGTAAGGTGTTACCTATGCGTGTGAGAGGTGCAGTGTATGGCGCACATTGCGTCGTCGGGTACCCGGAAACCGGGACGTGTGAAAAGCCACTAACACTCACCAATTTAATGTATGCCCATGTAAGCAAACCATACCGTAGCGGTACACAGAAACAGCATCTTTGACACACTGGCAAATCCGTACTCATTTTTAATAAAAACTTATATAGGTGCTCTATGAAAAAAAAACAAAGTCACAATTTGAAAATGTTCTTAAAAAACATTCCTTTGACTATGCGCACATTAGTTCCCGCCAACTGATGGTTTCGTACTGGCCAGTGTAGTTTGTAAAATGTTCCCAGTAGCCAGAGTACACAATAATAACAAGCACTGACTTAACCTTTACAATTTATTTTGTGATAAACACATGGCCTGGAGATAAATACTTAAAGGAACAGCAAAAGTTTCAATGCTAAGTAAAACATATTTATCTGATAAAAAGCAAATTTATTTGTTTTGTTTGACCTATTTGTAAATTAGTTGTAATTTTGATGTTGGTTTGTTAGGTTTTCGATAACAATAAGATTTTCTCAGTAATAGCATGGAGGCGAGTTATAACATGTCCGGTACCAGTATGTACCTACAGGCTTTTATCAACGCCAACCTTCTATTTCATGAAACTCATAACATAATTTTATATAGTGTAAAGATGCTTTATATTCACTAGGCCCACGAGGATTAAAAAAAATAAATAAGAAAAATAAAATAAAAATTTGTTTATTGTACAAAATTTCACAATATTATATTCACAGAAATTCGGCAATTACATGAATGAGTGTGAATTACGATCGATACTGACACTGCCCTCCAAACTAAGCTATAAGCGTGTATTTTAGAAAACAGTGATTCCGGCGTGGAGTATGTCACACAGTCGCATTATACTTATGTCAAAAAAGGTTTGGCGATATTGATGTTACGTTACCTATTTGACTATTTGTAGGTGTACCAAAAAATGTCAGATGGGAATAAAGCGTAGATGGCGACGTGAAATCTAGGGCCTGAGATTTAGGTATTATAGTGGAGATCTACATTTTATTACCTACCTGAGGACCTAGTGCTGGACCGTTGGTGTCCCAGCATTCCTTGATATTAGATATAACTAGTTTAGAAGCGGACAAAAATGATATTTTGAGCCCATATTTTTGTAGGTAATCCAAATTTTATAGTAGTTTTAAATCATCAACTTGGTATCAATCTTTCTCATAATGGGCCTGATAAGTCTCATAATAATTCGACATTACAATAAAACAACTCAATCCACTTTAAAAAAGTACTGAAACGTACCAAACTTTATTAAAAACTCATAAAAATAATGCACACTAAACTAGCTCCTATCAGCGACTTAATATGATCGTAAACGTTCCCTACCACGGATGGGGCCCAACAGGGCCGATGCCGATTCGGAGTCGCGGAGAACCTAACGGGTAACCGGGGCTCCGGCTCGACGTGCAGGAGAAGGAACGGGGTGGTTTTTAGTCAGTAAGAATCTGACACTCCCTCCGGCCTCACCCAGACGGGAGCAGTCATTCCATGTTTTTCCGCCCGTAAAAAAATATAATGCGTTCCCTGTTCATTTTAGCACATTGTCAAAAACACTGTACTACATTACATAGATGGCTTTGTAATGGTGTCAGCCAATTGGGCCTTAAGTCTGCTATTACAATAGTGTCAGAATTATCGATAACTGATTTCAAAATTGTTGTTTTTGGCGTCATTATGATTTTCCAATGGTCAACCACTGACACACCATTGAAAGTAATGACACAAAATTGTAATCTCGTGCGTAATGACACATACTTCAGTTTGCTTAAATAACACTGATAGATGTTTTGTAAAATGAATTTTATATAAGTAACACCTGGCATAGTGTTTCGAAAATTATTTCCACTACAAAGTTTTATAATGATGCCAATACGGAAATGTCATTCGACTACAATTCCATTACGAGACTATTGACCGATTTTAATGATCGACTAAGTATTATGAATTTAGCAGATTAGGAACTTTTAGCAAAATGACAATGCGATCGTGTTGGAATGACAACAATTATAAAAATAGCAGACAGAACCCAGGGCCGGAATAGAGTGTCACCAGTACTAGGGGTACCGCATTGCCTGTTCAGACGATTTTCCTTCTTCATCCACCGCACCTGACTCAGTCTTATTTTCTTCTTGACCGTCTGTTGTCTTCCAGTCTCCCTTTATTTGAGTGCCTTCTCTCATTGTGCACTCTCCCTCAGCCGCATTGTTCACGAAGCTGAACCCGTACTTGCCCTCAAGTTTTAAGATCTCACTTCTTAACAGGAGCATAAAGTAGACTTGTACCACTGAAAAGAGGAATATTTTTTATTATTTATTTATTTACACTTTTGTATATAATATAGAGGTACGATGGCAGACTTAATGCCGGGCGGCATTCTCTAACAGTCAACCATGAACCATACGTGTAATAGGTGTTACGATTTAATTTATGTGATATCCTTACTAATATTATACATCGGAAAGTAAGTTTGTTTGTTTGTTTGTTCTGCTTTCACGCCGTAACTACTAAACCGATTGCTTTGAATGTTTGCAGACGTAAAGTTAGAAGTCCGGATAAAATAATAGAGTACTTTTTATCCCGGAAAAATTTGATATTCCCGAGGGAAAACAAAAGTATTGGTATAGATGGCGCTGTGTGTATTGGTATATGTCACAAAGGCTACTTTTTATCATATTGTGACGCGAGCGGAGCCGCTAGTTAATTATATGTACAAAATGTATTTTGCGACCATTATTAGTTTGAGATCATTTATATTCTAATGTACTTAAAGTTTTTGAATCTTTTTTTCATTGTTCCAAATACAATATCAAAGTACGAGCGTTAAGCCAAAGGTTAGCAGGAAATTCACACTAGGTATGTAGGAATTCGGAATTGCCACTATTGAATACTAGATAATAAATACATAGATACATAGGTACCTAAGACCGTTGTTAAAAACTCTGTTTAAATAGCACAACGCTTGTGTTGTGTTTCGCCGTGTGAGTGAGGTTATCAGAGGTCCAATTATCTACTCGTCTCCCCAATCTCCCCAATGCCCGAATCCCCAACAATCCAATTCCTGCTTACCATCAGGTGATCAATCTGCTCGTTTACCGGCTTATCCCAAAAAAGCATATAGGTAAGATACGTACATAAAGTGAAAAAAAAGTGAGCAGTCGTAACGAGGAACTTCCAGGAGTTGTAGGAAAAGACATGAGATGGATCCATTTTCCTTAGCAATGACACCACCAGGATCATAATTAGAACGAGGGTGAGCACCCACATCACAATATTATAGACGTAAAACACACGCATGAGTTTTGCGTTTTTCTGAAACAATAAAAAAAAAAACTAAATAAATAAATGTAAAAAAAAAGTTTCCAGCACAACAACAACTTAATAATGGAATTAAAAACAAATAAGAAAGTAGGTTGAAGTGATTCAGTTACGCTGTCCTGCAAAAAAAATATCCAAGGACCAAAAGCGATTGCGGCGCCATCTACTATACCATGTTAGTTAACTACGAAAAACATTTTTACATGTACATTCACTGGGTTATAATAAGCCGAAAATTGGTACGTAAGACTTTGGTTATGGAAAGGACATTGGGCAAAACTTAGGTATAGTTGTAGTAGTACAAACGTCGCCAAATGTGAATCACACACAAACTTAATGAAAGTGTACATTGTACGTAATAGTTGTAACATGCGAAGGGAATCTAATTGTCAAATTGGAGGTTTAGACAAAATTATAACTTATTTTTGTTACGTTATTTATTATCTACTAAACATCGAACAGTAAGTAGGTACCTACATAATAGTACTACAGTGCCATGTACACACGGCTACACATCGAGCTTAACATAACCAGTATAAACTGAACGTTAAATGTGCGGAAAGATGGTGCGACGCGACACCAGGATAAACTGGTTTTGTATAGATTCATGTGTGGCCGTGTGTACACTAGCACATTTCATTTAGGTACGATTCATCCTTGCTGACATGACTCTTAGACTCTTAGCACACATATCGAACATTCATTTAACTAAATAATTATGTTAACACAACTGGCTACATTCCTTAATCAAAAATAATAATTTAGACTGTTCAATACAAATAAGTATGAAAAAAAATCACACTTGCATTAATTGATTTTATAACCAACTTAATTTTAGTTTCATTCCAGCAAGTTTTTAGAAATAGGTAACCTATATGACGCTTAAAAAACGTGACGTCACAATACACAATCTCGTACAAAATTAATAGAAAACTGTCTTTTTTCACAGTTCAAAAAAAGTATTGAATTTGACTAGTTGGCAAGTACCCAATTCAATTGCTTTTATGAACGTTTAAAGGTTAAGGGATAATCCGATGATAATAAGTTAATAACTAAGACTTCGAATTATTATTATTAGTACACAAACATAAATCTTACCTTATGCCCTCCAACGATGAACGAGAGAGTGAAACAGAATTCAATGAGACAGATTGCAAACAACACACTTATGACCGTAATGTCGTGAAGATCTCTTGAATTGAATACTCTTGGGGTCACGGTATAATTTCTGATCATGTAGTACAAGTGCATCGTGAAGAAGATTGCTAAAAAGGCCAGTGCCACCTGAAAAAGGAATAATAATAACTTTAGACTTAGAGCAATTGGTGTTCTATAGTCTCTGCTTACCCCCATTGTAGAGAGGCGTTTTAGAGCTTTAATTTTCATCATTCATCATCGCCTTTTATCCCCGGAGGTAATGAGAGGTGTACATTAGGGCACTTAATGCCACTGTACAATATAACACAAACTTTTCACTATTTATGCTATATGTCCCATGTAATAGCGGGTGAACCTAAACCAGATTTAAAAAAATTATAATAATATATTGTTATGGACAGGAACCCATGATCTTATACCTATTTGATATTCTTACATCCCTTCGACCATAGACGCATTATAGCGCGCAAGAACATGGACCCTGTAGGTACTAATTATAATGTCTTACTTACTTCTTCACAGGATACAAAGGCATGATCACTGTTTAGGAATCTAGGTAAGTAATTAATGAAAGTACATAACATCACGCCTTTCATCCCCGAAGGGGTAGGCAGAGGTGTACATTATGCCACTGTACAATGTATTTTTATTTATTTATTTATTTATTTTTATTACAGAAAACTCAACAGCTTATTTATTAAATGCTACATCTATAATAATGACAAGGCATGGAAACTTAAGCCAATAACAGAGTTTTTCAGCATGCGTCAGGTAAAAGTAGGAGAGTGAACAATATAAAATAAAATTAAACAATCAAGAAAAATTTATATAAAGCAATAATTAAGAAAAATAATAATGCTATAAGAGTCACACACTAGTGAGTATTTGAATAAGCGACTTACGAAAGGATACCTTTGACAAATTAAATATATCCACACTCTCAAACTTCTCTGTGTAAATGCGAGGTAGTCGAGTCATAACAGCATTTTTCCCATAATTATTACGATGCGAGGGTATACTAAGCAAGTGAGTATGTCTCGTTCGAGACCTGTGCGTAACACCCACTTTTCACTATTTATGCTATGAGTCCCAAGTAATAGGTGGTGAGCCTATTACCATATACCGGGCACAATTCCAGACTCCGTGCTACTACTGAGAATTTTTAAAAACCCAGTAATACTTTGCCCAACCCGGGAATCGAACCCGAGACCCCTTGCCCGGCAGTCGCACTTGCGACCACTCGGCCAACGAGGCAGTTAATGAAAGTAGTATAAATAACAATAACACTCACCAATTTTATATACGCCCATGTAAGCAGACCATACCGTAGCGGTACACAAAAACAGCATCGTTTAAACGCTGGCACCTCCGTTCGCATTTTGAAAATGAAAACTAATAAAACATCTTTACAAAAAAAAAAAAATACAAATCACGAAGAAAAACAAAGAATTTTTAGACTATGCACACATTTGACATTAGTTCCCGCCAAGTGTAGCTGTTAAACTGAACGTATCTATGTTCCCCAGTAGTATGTAATAAACATATTATTTTGTAATTATGCATTGACTTAACCTTTACTACTTACATTCAGATAAAGACATGGACCGCAGATAATTTAAGGAAAAATGAAAGCATCAATGTTGTTCAACTTTTATTTGTTTTAAGTTCATTAAATTAAAATTACTCAACCTTTGTTTTTAAAGCAAGATTAATTAAAGTGGTAAATAGGGGTGAATAGGAATCGAGAGATGAATAGAGACGGAAGAGGCGAAATTGGATACCTACTTTTTTTTTTGATGGGGAATAATCATCCAAGGACTTCTCCCGCCCGGGGGAGTGTCAGACTCTTACTGACTAAAAACCACCCCGTTCCTACTCCTGCACTTCGAGCCGGAGCCCCGGCAACCCGTTAAGTCTTCCGCGGCTCCGTATCGGCATCAGCCCTGTTGGGATCAGCCCTGTTGGGGAATGCATACCTACTGGGATATGTTTCATAGTAGATATACCTATCTGCTCACCCCTCTTCTGTATTCACCTCTACCTTTCAGTCAAGGCCGTTTCAGCCATAAAATACTTAAGTTTTCTTGTAGGATAACCGGGCAAACGAGCTGGCAGACCAAATTGATGGTCAGCAATCAGTGCCGCTCATAGACAGCCGCAACTCCAGAGGTGTTACAAGTGCGTTGCCGGCCTTTTGGTTGGCGGATTGCGGATTGAAGTGTCACAGAAATATTAGAAAATAATGTTTAATTTTATCTGTGGCAAGTAGGTATAGGGAGCAAGGCACTATACGATTAGATCGGATTCATAACATAACATAACATCACGCCTTTTATTCTCGAAGTGGTAAGTAGAGGTGCATACCTATTATACCACTGTACAATGTAACATCCACTTTTCACTATTTATGTTATGAGTCCCACGTAACGTGGGGGTGAGCCAATTGCCATATACCACAATTCCAGACTCCGTGCTACTACTGAGAATATTTTTAAAACCCAGTAGGTAGGTACTAAGTATCTTGCTCAACCCGGTAATCGAACCCGAGACCCCTGGCAGTCGCACTTGCGACTACTCGGCCAACGAGGCAGGATTCATTTGGCTATAATACAAAATGAAAGTTAAATATGTACTTACATATATTTTATTCCATTAATTAAGTACAATATAAGGCACATTTGAATAAAATATTTATGCACCTATCCTAAGCTAAAGATAAAAGTATCAGTCTAGATTGAGTTGAAAACCCTATGCTTATTACTTTATTCTATTTACAAGCCGAAGCCACAAGTGGTCATTATCGATAATCTTACATACTTCATTAAATAAAACTGAAGAGTTCGTTTGTTTGAACGCGCTAATCTCCGAAACTACTGATCCAATTTGAAAAATTCTTCTTGCGTTGGATAGTCTATTTATCCAGGAAGGCTATAGGTTATAAAACATCACGCTACGATCAATAGGAGCCGAGCAGAGCGGGTGGCCGCGCGCAAGAAGTTCTTATTATGTTGACTAGATTATGAAGTCTTATCATTTCCGAGGGTCCTGTGTATCATACACTCATGATGGTAATGTCACCACCGGCTTCAGTCTCCGCCATATTGTTCGAGATATTTGACTCGTTCAAGTTTTGCAATTTAATGATTTCGCTTCTCAACAGAAGTATGAAGTAGCATTGTAATACTGAAACGGCAATTAAAATTATTATGATTGTATTTTTGAATGAGGTATTTTTTTAAGGGAAGAAAATCATCGAATGACTGCCCCGCCTGGGTGAGGCGCGAGTATCAGACTCTTACTGACTAAAAACCGCCCCATTCCATCTCCTGCACTTCGAGCCGGAGCCCCGGTAACCCGTTAGGTTCTCCGCAGCTCCGAATCGGCATTGGCCCTGTTGGGTACCATCCGTGGTGGTCTGATAGCTCTTTGAGGCGCGCGCGGAACGCAACGCTCAGTACGTTTGGTTGAATAAGGTATGCAGTCACTTTTAGTAGCAGCCAGCAACTGTGTACATTTTTTTGCATTTGATTTTCATAGTTACTGCAAGACTACAAAGTTGAATGAAGTGACCGTATACACGTAGAATAATCTATCTGAAGCCCTTTGATACTTACCAAGGTTACAAAAGAACTTAAAGATCAATAACAGAGCTGTCTGTGTCTGAGAATAGAACATATTCGTTATAAGTTTCAAGATGAGCATCATCAATACGGCGTTGACCACCAACATAATCATACAATAGCTATAGTAAATACGCATCAACCTTAGGCTTTTCTGAAACAAAAATAAAACATAGGTAGGTAGGTATAGCCTATACGTATTCCGGTTTTTTTTAAGGGTGGGTAATCATCGAATGACTTCTCTCGCCTGGGTGAGGCGGGAGGGAGTGTCAGACTCTTACTGACTAAAAAGCACCCCGTTCCTACTCCTGCACTTCGAGCCGGAGCCCCGGTAACCTGTTAGGTTCTCCGCGGCTCCGTATCGGCATTAGCCCTATTATTGGGCCCCATCCGTGGTGGTCTGATGGCTCTTTGAAGCGCGCGCGGCACGCGACGACGCGCCGTAAACTCGGGTCTGGTTCTTGTCGGGCTGCGAGCCACCCATGCTCGCCGTCCGCAGGCCCGCGATGTATAGGACGTATAGGTACGTATTGTATTGTCAGAAACCAAAAAAATCATCTCAGGATGATTGCAATCAGTTGCAGCATAGCCTACGAGGTGCAATAGAAATCCTATTAAATTAGATCGTTTGCTATATACATTAAAAAATCGAGGGGTTACTCTCGTGAAAATAATTGAGAAAAGCTCTATTAGTTTCGATGGCTGCACGACATCGCTGCGACCGCGCACGCTGCTCATGAAGTAGAGCCCCTCTGTGGCTCTATTAGTGGAGCTTTTTTAAGTTTTACGTAAGTGACGCGCCAATTTTAGTTAATTTAGTATGTAGCACGCGAAACTACTAGAGCTTTTCTCAGTACATTCACGTGAGTAACCCGCGATTTTAGTTAATCTACCTCAATCCCTCCCCTTCCCCCACCAAAGACTCAGCTAAGTCGGGGTTCCAACCTCATTTCGAACTTACAAACTAAATGACCGCTCATTTAACATTTGTTTTAAAATGACAATACTGATAATGCCTATGTACTTAGGCATCTAATTATGAATTTGGATAATGCAATCGTTAGTACTACACGAGTAAAAATCTTACCTTGTGCCCTGCGATGACGAACATAAAAGTCAAACAAAATTCAACCAATAAGAGTACCAGTAATACGCGTATGTACCAAGCCTCATTCTTGCTGGTCGCTTCCTTCAGTATATTCACCAATACAGTTGATAAAATGATAATAGAAATCTGGAAATAAACAATAAGTAGGTTAGTTAAAGACCAATTTTGATTTTTACCCAGCGCTCGAATACGCGCGGAAACGCGAGAATGCGCGCGCGTCATTAAATCTCTGTGTATGAATAATACATTATATTTTCCTACCTATAGGTACATTGTATACACTAAATATATGTATGTGTATTATACCTTTTTAAGCTGGCAAAATGACAAAAACAACACTCACCAATTTCATGTATGCCCATGTAAGCAAGCCATATCGTAGTGGAATACAAAAACAGCATTTTGTATACACTAAAAACTCCTTATTACTCATGTCAATAAAAAAAATCGGTCACAAATACGAGCAAACAAAATACAGATTCACACTGAGTGCATTTGCACAATGACAAAACAGCCAATGTATGTTTTCTTTATATAATAATGTTCGAGAATTGACATACCGTTCCTGCATTGGCCATTAGCCAGTCTCGAAAAAGAATCATTTAACTTGGTTTTCCCTTTTGATAAATTAATCTTATAAGTAGGTATATGACGTATCTATGTATGGGGCGGTGCTCAGGTCAACCTATCCTATCTATATGTCGCGGAGAACCTAACGGGTAACTGGGGCTCCGGATCGACGTGCAGGAGAAGGAACGGGGTGGTTTTTAGTCAGTAAGAATCTGACACTCCCTCCCGCCTCACCCAGGCGGTCGGCAGTCATTCGATGATTTTCCCCCTTAAAAAAAGTCGAGAGTCCAATGAATCAATTTTGTACTTACCGATGCGTCACATACGATAGTAGATATGCAGGAAATAAACGAAATACCCTCAAAAGTTGTAGAATCTTCATACCCTGTTAACTACTTTATTTCTATAATAACTATCGTGAGACATGTTAAATAAAAATCGCGGCTTACTCACGTAAATATACTGAGAAAAGCTCTACGTATGCGTACGTAGGCTGCGCGACATTGCCGCGACCGCGCACGATGCTCATGAGAACCCCTCTGTGGTTTGAAACTAGTAGAGCTTTTCTCGGTATATTCACGTGAGTAACCCGCGATTTTTATTCAATTTACTTTATTTCTCTCAATTTTCTATTAAACCTGCCGACTCTCAATTTCAAATCAACAAGGCTATTAGTATATAGCTAGGTAGCTCTAATAAGATACTGAGGCAGGCAGACATGCAGAGGGCCAAGCACGAATAACTATCGCATTCGTATCGTAACAGTATCGAGCGAGTTAAGCGTTCTGATTGGTTGGTTCACTTGAGCCGGCCAATCAGAGCGCCGAACGCACTCGATACTGCTACGATACGAATGCGATAGTTATTCGTGCTTGGCACTCTGATCGATCACCCGATGGCAGCAGAGACCGTGGACCGTAAACCCCTAAACCACAATGCCAGTAGATTAGACTAGCTTCCTTGTGGGAACTGCTAAGTAGTGGAATACTTTCCCAGAATCTATGTTTCCTGAAGGGTATACTAAGTACCTGGGTGGCCTAAATGAAGAGGTTGCTTATGTAGACATGTTCCAGTGTACGT